CCAGGCTGGCCTCGAACTCACAGAGATCTGCCTGCCTCTGCCTCCCCCACCAACACCCGGCTGGCCTAGGGCTTCGTAAAGCATAACTTAAAGAGGTTATGGTGAGGATCAGAATGGTCCTTGGCCGTGGTGTTCAGAGTTGAGAGAGTGTAAAGTACAGTTAGCACTTTCAAAGCCAGCTTGACCTGTTTCAGTGACTACTGGAAACGGCAATGTTAGGCATGTATATTTCTCTGACCAGTAGCCAGTATCTGTTTTGTTACTGTCTGGACCTTTCAGGATGTGCATACTTAGCATCGCTGAAAAAAATAAGTAAATGTGGATCCATGCATTATTTCTTGTTGTATGTGTAAGGAGTATGGGATAGTGTTTAGACATATTATTTCTGCATCTGTTACTTCTTTGAGCCTTTGTAGACACCAAGTGTCTTTTTGGGTTCTCAGGTTTGGGTGACTCAGAATACACATACTTCTGCAATGGAGGGAAAGTAATTGATAAACGACTCCAGGAGCTCGGAGCCCAGCACTTCTACGACACTGGACATGCGGACGACTGTGTAGGGTAAGGGCAGTGCATGTCTGTTTTCAGTAAACTCATACACATGGTGGAAGTTGGTGAGCTTATGAAAAATGTTTGGCTTGGTTTAGTACTGCCAGTCATCTGAGTCTCATTATACTTTCACCATTTAGCCAGAACCCAGGAAGGTCAGATGAGTGGAGCCTGGTTGGCCTGTGTTGTCATGTCCCACATCCCCACCTCCACCATCTGTTAATGGAAAGAGGGAAGCACCCAGCACTGTTACATGCATCTCAGAGCATGGGTGTGTTTGTAAGTGAGTGCTGCTTCTGCAACATTGGTATTGCCTGCGTGTCTTCTCTCTGCCTGCACACAGGGGCCCTGTTAGCATCTCCTCTAGTGGAAGGAGCCTGCAGGCCGAGCATCAATGCCCCATTATCGGGGCAAAGTAGCTTCATATCTCAGCTCATTTGCTCTGTTTGCATATTCAGTTGTACAGTGCTAACCAACACCATGAAAATTATTTATATTTTTTTGAAATAGTCGATTTGGTACATCTACAGTCGCATATAGTACACTGCCGAATGGACCGAATGCTGCTTTTTCATTGTTGTGCTCAAATGGACAACTTAGACATTTGGTTTTTTCCCCTTTTATTACATACCAGTTTAGAGCTCGTTGTAGAGCCGTGGATTGCTGGACTCTGGGCCGCCCTCACAAAACACTTTAAGTCGCTCAGAGGACAAGATGGAATGAGTGACACACTCCCACCGCCATCAGATGCCCCCTTGAACACTCCTGTGAAGCCGGAGTTGCTACACATCCAGTCACAAGTTGAACTTCTGCGATTAGAGGATGTGGGAGAGAAGGATTCTGAGGTGTGGGAGCACAATGAAGCTAACAGGAGTCAGAGGAGAGATTTGATTGAAGACTTTGAGTCCTCGCTCGTCCGCTCAGTTCCCCCACTCTCACACACCTCTCTAAGTATTCCCACTTTGCCGCCAGAATATTTGGAGGTCCATCTTGAGGAGCCTCTTGGCCAGGTGAGAGATTTACTTCATTAACGGCATTATCCGTTAACTGTTTGTCACATTAGGACACATGTCTGAGACTTGAGGACCAGGTGCAGCATCTCCTGCTGTAACTACGGTTCCTGCAGCAGCCATGCCTGTTGTGCTGTGCAGTGTCTACAGATGCTTTTGTGGTTAATGCACACCAGAGGCCTGCAAAGAAGAAAGCACTTACTGTCTGAGCCTTCCAGAAAAGCTACGTCAACTCCGTGTTACAAGTGGCTTGATGTTGCAGAATTCCTTTTTTACTTCTTTGACGAAGCCTTTCATGGCGCCACTCTCGCTCTGCCTTCACTTTCAGTTGCTGAGACCCCAGCTTGCTCACATCATTCTCAGGTGCTCTGAGTTTATGTAGCCCCACCCTCCATTCAGAACCTCAGCATCCCATCTTGTCCAGACTCCCCCAGCCTTGACTGTTGGACTCCCCCACTCTGCATTTACATTGTGGTCTGTGCCACACCTCTGCCTTCCTTCTCGTCACCCACATGGTGTCCAGCTCCAGAATCCCGTGTTAGCAGCCTGTTTAGACTGCTCTAGCACTAAATGTCACTGGTTCCAAGTGTCAGACTGTGAAATATTCTTTACGGCAGTGTGGGGCTGGAGGGGTAATAGCAGGATTACACACAATGTGTCTAAGAGTCTAAGCTGTGGCGCATTCTCAGCTGAGGTCCCAGCCTCCTGTGGGGTTCTCGGTGAAATGGTCCAGTTCTTAATGGTTATCTGGAATCGGGACGCAGGCAGGGTTTATGGCCATCATAGTCCTTGGATTTGGCCTGCATTGAAAGGAGAGGTGGCTGAGTAAGGGCGACCTCTTAATGCTGAGGGCTTCCTACAGAGCTGGCTGAGGGCTGAGCTGGAGCTGGTGGCAGGTCTTTTGAGGGTCACATTCCAGAGTCCCCCCACCAGGGCTCCAGCATCCAGCTTTGACTTGCCTCAGCCTTCCCATATGGCCAGTTAGTTGGCTTTGATTTGTTAAAATGTTTTCTATTCTTAAATAAAATAAAATCAAGTTAGAAGAGGAACTGGGAGATATCACAAAGAATTAAGTTTCTGTGCAGTTTCCTAAGACCTGTGCTATCCTTATTGGACCCCTGGTGACAGATACCTCTGAAACAACTAAAACTGAGAATACCCTTCCTCCATCGGGCCTACTCACCAGTAGGCTTAGCTGCCCACCTGCTAGCCCCAGGACTCTGCCTGTCTTGGCTTCTTCAGTGCTGGGATGACAATTGCATGCCACCGAGCCTGGACTTTTTAATGTGGTTCTGGGGGTTGCAGTTTATTATATTTCATTTGTTTCTCAAGGAGGAAAGCCAAACATCTGTGACTTCAGTGGATCCAGTTTTTCAAGTTCCAATTTCAAAAGCTGTTCAGCTGACTACAAATGATGCCATAAAGACCACACTGCTGTTGGAATTGGACATTTCAGTAAGTTGTTTCGGAGTTTGTTCTTGTATCATGAAGATACAGAGAACCTTTGGGTACTCAGTTACTACATCCGGGAGGAGATGTCTCTGGCAGGACATCTGGCCTTTATTCCTGACCTATCATTTTCCCTGAGCCTCTTTCCTTTCAGCTTCGGAGAAGATGTGAGAACTGATGCTGACCGTGCAGAGCATAGCACCTTGATCATAAGCCATGAGAGAACAATGGGGTCCAGATGGCCAGCAGAAGGAAGTGCTCACTTAAGACCAGCCAGTGAGGGGAATTAAAGTTCAGAGTAGATGGTCAGGAGAGCCCCAGCTTCTCAGAGCAGTACTTCCTATTCTTTGGAGACTCTGAAAAGTTTTGGGAAGCTCTCCAGAGAGGTGATAATAGAGAGCATTTGCCTGTTGTACCAGGGGGCTGTACGTGGTTATTTGAACCCTGTCTATGAATCCGTCTGCATCTATCTGTTCCTCTGAGATACGCTATAGTCATTAATCAACCTTTATTTTGAAGAATGTCCCAAGAAAATCAGAACACTTCAGGTTGTCTGTGAACATTCAGTAGAACTTCCTGACAGAAACAGTAGACCTACTATTTTGTGTCTGTACTAGTGAGAAACTTCATGTGTCTATTAAGTGCACTGTGTGTGTCGTTCATGCACACACACATAGGAAGGCTGGGAGGTAATGTTAGGAATTTTCCGGGAATACTCTCCGTCTCATTCACTGATGCAGCATCTCTCAGTCAAACCCAGAGCTCTCCAGTATGGCCGGTTGTGGGCTGTGGGGTGTGCATACCCTGTCTCCACCTTTCAAGGCTGGATTTACAGGTGGACACACACCCAAACCAGCCAGTATTTATGTGGATTCTGGGAATCTGAACTTTGTAACCTCAACTGGCTAGAGCTTTCTACCCTCCTTGCATAGTTTCTTTTTGTTTTGTTCTCTAATGTGATGTCATACTCGGAAGACCAGGCTGGCCTCTGAATTCAAGAAATTTGCCAATGTCTGGCTCCCCAGTGATGGTATCAGTGGCATGTACCAGCACACTGCCCCTTGGTCTTTTCTAGAGTAACTCTTAATGAAAGTGTGTTTGTTGAATGGACTTCTCAATTTCACCTTGGTCCTTCTCTAGAAAATCGAGTTTTCTCATCAGCCTGGAGATTCCTTCAATGTGATCTGTCCAAACAGTGACTCTGAGGTAGAAAACCTGCTTCAAAGGCTACAGCTGGCTGATAAACAAGCATACCATGTCATCGTGAGAATTAAGACGGACACTAAGAAGAAAGGTAGGACAGGTGCTGGATTTGACCAAACATGCATGCACATACATAACCACAAGCAAATCTGGTGCTAACCAGTTCTTGATGTTATTCTTATTTAAAGTGAGTAGTATGGTAATGGACACTAGTGGGCATGAAAGGAGCCTAGAGCCTTTATGTAAAATTCCCATTTATGTTTACTTCTCATAGTAATATTATGTAAACAATTTTCTGTAAATAGAAGCTGTTTTATTTAAAATATTAATATTAATTGTATATAATCTTGACTTACTCAGTCCTAAACTTCCTGTTTTTCAAAAAGAGGTATTTTTGTTTTTGTGTCTGGTGTGTGTGTGTGTGTGTGTGTGTGTGTGTGTGTGTGTGT